CAATTTTTTTTAAGGAATATTTATTAGAAAAGGTGAGAGATAAAGTAAAATCACAATACCACTATGTAATATTTTCTGATTACATTTATATTTGATAAATGAGTATATTAGTTATAAAAATAGTATTCAAATTGACTGATATTTCAACTAACAAAATACGCTAACACATGTAAAATATTTCAAGGTTTATTGGGATCTTAAAAATAGACATAAAATTATTAAACTTGGTTGTTCCGTCCATTCTCATCTTCATCTTCTAAAAGGTTTTTTTTTTAAATATAGCGGTGAGATCTGCAAGTTGGTGATATTAAATTTTGTCGTTTCCGATCAAGCAGGCTTGCCTATTCTCGCTAGATATCTTGGAGGTCTGTGTGGTATTTCTCCATTCGAGTATTTTTACCACAACATTTCCCAATGAAAACATTAAAATTAAATTGTACAATGAATGTTTTACTGTTGTTTTTGATATCATATAAAAATTAACTATGCACGGCGTTACGTCCAACTGTTTTGCAAGATCGGCAAGTCGTGATGGTTTAGCATACCTTCTCAGCCGTGAATGTCGGCTTCTCAACTTCGTTTTTGGCATGATTTATTGTTTGTTATTATTACTAATTGTTTAATTTGCCTTTTGAAATTGACAACTAAATTACGGATTTCCTGAAACGGACCCATTAATTAGTAATACGTTATAGAATCTTAGAACAGATTCCTAATGTTCCTAACAGATTTCTAATGGTGGGTAAATAAGGCTGTTCCGTCGATTTGATCAATTGCAGAATAGTTCTAGGTAACATTTCAAAAAATCGTCAATTAAAAAAGTACACGAGTGACAAAAGAACACACAAACCTTCAAGCTCGAATTTCAACAGACCTCTCAAACCTTACTCAGTATTCTGCTCTGACCGGCATCCGTCCACGTATCGCAGTCGGAGATGAAACGTCTTAATTTTTGTCCAGTTCGTTTGGTCAGTTGGTCCGATCAAATCCCGATTTCTGCAAATCGTTGATTGCACAGATGGAATATTTAAGTTTATTAATTCTCTCGCGACTGTCGGGGCGAATCCATCCTCTGAAGCTCACGCTGGATTGTGCCGAGGCGAGGTACGGATTTCCCATCCCTTATCCCACCATCGTCCAACACTCTTTTCCGTTTCATTTCCCCCCCGTACCCCTCGTTTTTGATGCTGAGCAGCAGCGGAAAGTGAGTTTATTTTATTTTTATTCACTATATTTTATTTTTTATTTATCACCTACAGTTCACTAAAACCACTAACATTTGTACATCTAAATAATATGGATTGAATCTGTATACTTCGACAAGTCACGAATACATATTTCGTTAAGTTTGGACAGTAAGTTAGTTAACAAACATGAAAAATTTTGGTTAATTTCTGTCAATTATTTTTTTCCATGGCTAATTAAATTAATGGATGTAATCTCGTTATTTGAACAACCTACACGTACAAATTTGCATAAAAATATACATAAATGACACTTTTATCAACAACATGTTTACTTTATTCGCGTTGAATTTTCGGAACGAATTCGGCAAGGAAAACCTACAATAGTACAAAACATATCCAGGAGGAAATCCTAACTTTAGCCGTAAACGATTCAGGATGAGGTTTCAAATTGGGTTCGGTCTTCTTCCCATCTGGGTCGGGAAGTATGAAAGGAAATGGAACGTGGTCTTCGGCCGGACACGGCAAATCCCAAAGGTCACTTCCCGCGATAACCTCAGGCTAACTCGCTTAACTGAATCATCGGCAAAACCGGTGGAACTGACTTTTAACTGCGAAATATTCCCCCATTCAATGGAAACGTTTGAAAAATTTATTACCTCGAGTTTTCGCCTCGTATTCATTCTCCTTGAATTAAAAGGAAATTGATTTTTTAAAAATTGGCTTCTCTTTAACAACCTTCCAATACTAATTTCAATCTATTAAAAAGGCAACAAAATTTATTAATATTAACTCTTATTCAGAGAGCGCTTATTCTTTTAATAATATAATAAAAAGCTTGTATCTTTTAAATTAGTTAAATAAGACTTTTAAATTAGTTATTCACAAGAAATAATTAAGACAAGGAAATTAGAACATTTGTTTCAATTATAAAACATTTTACAGTTAGTTTTTTTATTAGGAAATATAATGGGTAAAAATACTCGATTGGAGAAATAGCCCACAGACCTCCAAGAGTCCAGCGGGAATAGGCAAGGCTACATGATCAGAAACGACCAAATTCAATTTCAAAAATTATGGCATGCATTTCTAAGAACGTCCTTAAGAGCCCCCTCCGGGTTGAGTAGTTTTAAAAACAGTGAATTGGATCAACGTTAAGTAGCAGATCGATTGAAGTACATAGCAAAGTTGTTTAGAGCATCCATAGCAAGAAGTACCAATGTTCTAATACCATTTCTTTGTAGGCGCACATTAAAATTGCATAAACATCATTTTAAAAAACCTGTGTACGCTCAGTATGTTAGGCTATTGGCTATGAATTTTAACTTTTTTAACGTTTAAAGATCAAAATTATATCAAATATCTCTTGTTATTTTTATATTAGAAGTGATAATTGTAGAACAATTGGTCATCAGCTAATTTTATGGTTGTAATTGTAAAATAAAATTGACCACATGAGAACCGATTTGCCTAATTTTAGCTCGGTCAATCCGAAAGGGTTGTTATAATCAGTTAGCTTTTCAATTTGGCATCGATTCACGTTCACGCTTTCCGACTTAATTTGACTAATCGGATTGATATTATTTAACGCTACCGATCGTACCTTAAACGGGGCGATTATACAAATTAGTTGGTTTTTCGATGATCTCATATTCATACGTATTTTAGAATATTCATACTTATTTTAAAATATTCACACCAACTGTCCATCAATTTTATTTATGCTTGAATTCTCGTTTTTTTAGTGAAAAAAGTATATCTTTATTAATTTTTTAACGATACTTAAAGGCTTGATTTTTGTTTTCCCGGTTGAGATGTTAACGAACTTCTTTGATTGTTTTACACATGATTAATTCATTCAACTCCATTCATTTCCGTCCGCTTTTCGCATGGTTTGGGGCGTGTCAGTCTGAGGTCCCGGACAAAGGGTTTGAGTGCTCCTCCTGCTTTGGCTAGTTTGTCAGCCGGTTCGTTGACTTCAATCTCCGCTTTTCCTAGTGCGCACATCAGAGTTACCAGATTAAATTTTTCCAGATCAGCTTTGAATTGAAGATAGAATAATGCTGCTTTGCTCTCTAATAATTTGTATATCTGTGCACCCCTTAATTACACCTAAGTTACTATTTATGTATTTTTTGTGCTTTCTCCTTTGGATTTCAGTTAGAAAATTGATGGTTTAGAATTTAAAAAGTTTTCCTACGTTCAAATTTGAACTTTTCTCTCCTGCGCCGACTCAATGTTTTATTACAGACCTCTTATACACAATAATAAGCATCCTGTTAGTTTTTATTAGAGGGTTTTTATTCTACCAAATATTTCTTCTTCAAATTTTTATTTGGAAGGTTTAGTCAAAATTGTCTTTTCATTTCATCGGACTTTTTTAAACCACGTTATTCCTTTTTACGGATTTTATGACGGCATACTCTTAAGACGGGTTTTATATCATTTTGTGGCAATCCTAATGCCATTTGCTAGAAATAGGAGAAGAATGCATTAGCATAATTTCTTTAATTGATCCTGAAGCTTCTTTTCTAACGTTTTTGGCCAACATATGGCCGCAGATCTAACATTTGTTGTATGTAGCCAACAAGAAAATTGTAGATTTGTACCTCTATGTCATGTTTTACTACATAATCTTTGGCCAACATATGAGCCTTAGGTTTTTATATGTTTCTTCCAGGTAAGCTTTTGTTCTTATGTGATTCCCAAATACTTTGTTTTCCTCGAGATAGTTACGTTTTTATATTTTTAAAGAGAATGCTTTTAGATTGAGCGTATCTATGTGAAATTAATGTATTTAGGGGGTTGACACCCAGCCACATATCCTTATTCTAAATTTGTACTAAGTTTAGGAAACATCTTGAAAAAATTCCATCAAATTTGCCATTTATTATTTGTTATGGTTAAGCGTCGAAGGGTTAATGCCGTTCATGTAAGGTATTATTAAAAGCACGCTCTATGTACATGAAGCAATATTGTTTTATTTTGTTCTATGATTTAGATAATTTAATCTACTAGTGTATTTAGGGTAGATTTCTTGGGTAAAATATTGATGTGTATTATTTAATACTCTTTTTAAACAAAATTTATATTTTTTGTTCATTTACTAGTAACGACAGTTCAAAAGCTTTATTATTCTACTCGAATATTTCAACGGAAATATTCGATTCGAGGATTTCACTTGACTACATTGGAATACTTCCAAAACCCTCGATTTACACGATCCTGTATGTCAGTTCTTTTATATTAAACGTATTTCAAACCTCGCTAGTCAGAAACAATTTATTGTTTTATTAAACTCTTTTTGTGTGGAAGATTCCGCCGATATCAAATAACAAAATGATACGAATCCCCACACTCGCTGCCGCAGAACGTTAGGTTTAGGCGCAGTCAAGCGATTATAATTCCTTTAAACAACAGCGATCACCTCACGGAAGAACAGGCTTTAAATTATTCAGGAGTCAGACGTTAAAATACGGCGGAATTTAATAAAACTGTTAATGTGCGTTATGTCCCTACATCGCTGGATGGGTAAAGACATTAAACTATGCATATTTGTTCCAAACAAAACGTTGACGGTGAATGATAAGGATTGCCTTTAATTATTTTTTTATTAAAATCTGATTTAATAATTTTAATATAATACACGAGAAGTGAAAATTTTATGTTATAAATAGACAAACGATTGAATTTTTTTCCAGTAAGATATGTATTTCACCGATTCATTCATAGTTTTTTATGCAAAAAATGGATATTACGCTAAAGAAAATGAAAAAATGTATTCATGGTTAGTTAGTCAAAATTTTCTATACTTACGGTAGTTGTATTACGGCCTAGGGCCCTTTTGTCTCAATTCGTCCGGTTTCTTTTTGAACTATCTCCGAGCCCAGACATCTGAAAGGCAAAACAAAACAGAACAATAGTAAGAATCATGGCTCAATAACAAAAGGGAGGAAAACCCTGTTGATAAAAGATTGCCCGATACTCCAAATGACGCAACCGACAAGTTGTGCAATCCTTTCAAAAACATCCAAACCCCATAACAGTTATCAATAAATCATTCAAGAAACTGGGTTACTGTCAAATTGATTTGTTTTTCTAATTGAAAAGTAAGTCGAAAATAAATCAAAATAAATAAGTTAACGCTTTTGTTTTAAACAAAAGAATAATTTAATTCAGCATTACAATAACGAGATTGTTGGTTGCTTTTATAACCACCGTCTAATAATAGGATCTACTTGAAATAAAATTGCTGAGAGTATGCCGTAAAAAATCTTCCGTTTTTCAAGAATTCAGCATGAATTATATAAAAATCTTTTAAAAAGCTTTTTAACAGCTTTGACGCAAATAGATTTACATCCATATTCATTGAACAGCGCCCTAGGATCTTGAAACGATTTAAAGTAGAGGAAAAAAGGTTTTTTTTAACATTATAAAATTTTTATATCAATATGTGGTAAATTACAAATGTGTAGAAATTCAAAACGTGTTTCTTCACCCAAAATGGAACAAATATTCTTTTGGCCCCTGCGTCATTTTCGAAAAAAAAATTAAAAATTATTTTGTGTGGTGATTAGTGACCGTTAATCGATAATTATTCAGAAATCGTGAGACACACCAGACCGCATCTCACGATTTCTGAATAATTAAAAATTATTTTTTACTTTCTGTAGAAAAATGTATAGGCAGAAACCAGTCAAAACATAGAGATGAAGGAGGGAAGCCGGCTATTGTTAGAACTCTCAATTTAAAAAGTTGGTTTAGGGTTATGTTAGGATGTCACAAGGCCACTAGATAGTCAACTTAGGCGTCTTGGATAATTTTTAGGGTTGAACATTAAAGCTTTCCTAGTAGGGTTGAAAGTAAAGAGAAGGGTATTTGTTCATTTGAATGTTTGGTTTTTAAAGTAGAAGATATTGTGTCGACTTCTCATAATATTTGCTGGACAGTAAAATGGAGCTAAATCCAAAGCGAGGGGTGTGGACTTTGTTATGAAAGATGAATATGAGGATTAGTTTTTTAAGACGGCGTACGAAAATTCTAGATGGAATTCTCAATAATGTGTAATAATATTTGATACTTTTGGTTTTATGTTTTTTTTTGTGGGGAGGGGGAAAACTCATTTCTCCAGAAAATCGAACATATCGTCTGAACGTTTGTCCTTGAATAAATTTCCATTAAGAAAACTTACCCAATAAAATACTTGTAATATTTTATTTTTAACTGAAATTATGCAAATTATTAGACCTTTTTGAAATGGCAAAATTTACAAAACTTTTAATTTCATTGTACGATTTTTTTTCTGTTTAGATATAAACGTAAAAATTTTGCACAAATATTTCTATTTTAAACGATCTTAGCAGTTTACTCAAGATTCCAATTTAATTTGTAGAAGAAAATTAAGAAAGAATGTGAAAAACGCGAGGAATCGGGAGCAGAGGATTTGGAAAAACAAGCAAATTACAGGAATTCTCTCACAGTCCCTTAAGCTAGTGTCAAAGTAAACAAGAAAAAAAATGTGTAAGTAGTTTGGGAAGTCGTTTTAGGTATTGCAACGAAAATATTTTTCATGAAATCTTGTGTCCATCCGCTTCCTGAAAACCCGTCTAATGAATGGGCTCACTGCCTTTTTTTGCTGCATTTTGGGAGTAAAACCATCCTCTGAATTACACATTATTCGTCATTACCCGCATGGGGTGTCTACTTACATTCGATGGTTGTTCCCAAAAACTACTCAACCTAAAAAAAATTTAAGCAGGTTTTTTAGGATCAGCTCTAAAAAGTTACAACTGAACTTTATTCAAATGATAACTCACATTTTTTCCCAGATTCATCGATCATTTGCGTTTACGGAAAATAGTTAAAAACAAATGATACTAAAAAAAACTTCACCATTGTTTTTAAGTAAAAACTGAACTTTTATTTAGCTTTTGGTAATTGGTTAAACACAATGTCATATACCTTTATTTGAAATTTTAATATTGTACAGAAAAGATTAAAGATAAGGCAAATTGGAAAGATAGAAAGTAACTATTTCTAATAATTTAAATGAGTATGAGATCTTCAATTCATATCACCCAAAAATCAGATTCACATGTAGAGAGGAAACAAATGGAAAATTGGAAGGACTCTATGCAACATAAAAAATCGGCTGCCCTGGACTGAATATTAAATTTTAAGTTTCAACATTTTAACTATGATATAGGTATGTACAAACTAACACCTACTAAATATATTTAAGTATTCTAACAAAACAAATTTTATTTCCAAAATAACTTCCCTGAGATTCTATACATAAAATCCTTAAAGAATGATCAATAAAATGCGATATCAGCAATTATATTATATTGATGTGATTGATATCAGCCTTGATATAATCATTAGGTGTAAAACAGTTCAGGAATAAGGCGAATTTGTAAGAAAGAAAACCACTCAGTTCCTCCGTCAAGCTTTCCTGGAATATATCCTCTTCTTCAGGACTTTGAAACTATTTCTAATGTTTTAAAGTGTAACAAATATAAAAATGCACCCAAAACACTCGAAATCATGGCCTCAACGAAAATAAATACAAAGGGTTTGCTTTGAAGTTTGGACAAGCTAATGAATTTGATGTTATTTGCTATGTGGGAAGGAAACACCTTATTTTTCCTACATTTTAGCAAAAACCATCTTCGAGAGTGTAACAGTGCTAATTTTCTATTTAGGGTGGCAATTTTTTTTTCAGATTTTCAACAGCACACTGCCCGTATCTACAACTAACCTTACGACTGTCCCTCGTCCACTCTTCAAAGCAAAATTCTTGTATTTTTTATCGTTGATGTTTGTTTGGTTAGGACGGATGTATAAAATGAGTAATGATGGGAGAGAGGACGCTATTTGCAAAATTTTCTATCCAAGAGGAAAAATTTGGATTAGCAAAACAGTGCTCTAATAATCAGGCGGATTTAGCGGCTATGTTGAACTCATTGCAATGGCTAGTGTGCTTCCCCCTTCCCTTAGCTTAGCCTTCCTAGTAGCTGTCCATCAATCGTTAGGGTAGATTCTCAGGTAGTGTTGGATTCAATTACGGATTGAAGGAATTGCCCCTAGTTGCATTTGCACGTTCTGAACCGCATACGGCATCTTGATATCTGTGTGTTTATAAGGAAGTTCATAAAGGAGCAATGAAAGAACCAACAACTGGAGAAAGACGCTTCAGAAGACTCTGAGTCAGAGTCCTTCAGTTTGGTACCGAATGTTTATGTGGACGAATTAGTTGCGGCCAACGGGTTACGAAAGTGGGAACAACGTTGGCCATTTTCTGCAACAGGTCAACACACAACAACCGTGTAGCGTTCGTCTGTCCTAAAGCATATCCCAAGTGCTTTCAGACCACGGACTTAACAGAGAATATCTGTATTGTTTTTGGATATTACAGGATCCAATCTACAGGACTTGCCCTTGTGAAAGTGTTACATGAGACGAACTTTATTTTGTTCCGTTGTGAATATGGGAAAAAGAAAGTGTCCCTTTTCTTAAAAACCCATCGTTGTGAAGCGTTCACTTGACTCCAGACAAAACTGCTACGCTGAATTATTACATGGACTGTGGAATATTTTTAGCATCTCTGTAAATCGAATTCATTGAAAAACTGAAAATGTTTGACCAGTTTGCTTAGTTTTGCTAGTTCTGTAGGCACAATCTTACACAATAAATTCCCTATATGTAATTGTTTAAAATCATAATTTGTCTTTTAAGTGCATGTAATATGTTAAGAAGACCATGCAAACATACATAAATGTTAAAAAAATTGGAATAATTTAGAGATATGAGATTTTGTGATATATTTGGATAAGTTAATAGGTAGCTGGTAGGTTGTGTTTGAGTTTCCAAAACAGTCTAAATTACGACTCAATTACGATTCCTTCAACTATGAAATGTATTTGCAAAGGTACATCGTTAAATTTAACAGTAATAAAAATTATGCTCTGGATCTCGTAAAGTCTAAAGAGCCATAAAACACGTTAATGTTTTTATGTTTAATTCCTCTGTCGATAAATCCTACGTGGAAACGATAAAAATTCCGCGTCGGTTTTCAATTTCCCATTTATCGTCGTTTCCAAATTTGGGTCACTTATGACAAAATAGGACTGGCAGAAAATTATATAATGACGAAGTATCGTTTATAGATATCCCTCAGTTTTATACTTATCGACAAATCGTACAGTGGGAGGATGGGAGAAAGATTATTGGGGAGATACGGTGCGCTATTGCACTAACAGCAGGAATCGAGTGAGGACTGCAGACGGATTTTTTCTGCCGCAATCTAACTTTTATTTCAAAATAGACACCCGCAACATAAATTTAAATTCAAATGTTTATTCGGGGAAAACAGCAAAAGACTATCACTACCAATAAAAAACTACACTTAATCAGAAGAAATAAAAAGTTTCTCAAATTTTATTAAAAGGGTAAAAATTACTTGTTCAATACTTAAAAATTATTTATTTTTCTGTTATAATTCAATTTTGAAAATTAAGTATTTTATAAACCAGTAGGAAAATTTAAGTTAATACATTATCCAGTCACAAACTTTTGAAACGTGATAATCTTCGTTTAACGTCATCATCTAAACCATAATCCAGACTATCACCTTTTCCTAACAAAACCACTCTCCTTAATGGAGAAAAACCACATCTTTTTTTGCAACGGTTGGCAGTAAGAAAAAACTAATGGTGCATTTGGTTGTATGTACGTATATCCACCAGCTCGATATTCTTAAGAAACTTAAGTTAACTTAACTTTCTTTTTATCTCAACTTAAAACCTTAATTAATGTGTGGTAATTAGTGACCGTTAATCGATATTTATTTAGAAATAAAGGTGAGATGCGGTCTGGTGTGATGTAGGTTTCAG